CTCACAGCAACCTCAATCTCCTGGGCTCAAGCGATCCTCCTGCCTCAGCCTCCTCCCGAGTAGCTGGGACTACAGGCATGCACCATCATGCCCGGCTAATTTTTTGTATATATTTTTAGTTGGCCAATTAATTTCTTTCCATTTATAGTAGAGACGGGGTCTCGCTCTTGCTCAGGCTGGTTTCAAACTCCTGAACTCGAGCAATCCACCCGCCTCGGCCTCCCAGAGTGCTAGGACTATAGGCGTGAGCCACCGCACCTGGCCAACAGTTTTCTTTATTCATCTTAAAATTTATGTTAATATTCCATCTTCTTCAAAGCATTTGAAAATATAAAAATAATAATAAAATGCTTTAGGAATATACACCATGTTTATTTTCACTGTACATATGCAAGTCTCATTTGTGCATAAAATTATGAAATTTTTACCTCAGTTATAGAGCAAGTTATTTGCCATAGCCTCTCTGGCCTATTGCCAATAAAATTATATGATTAATTATGAGGAAATCTCCATTGGACTGTATATTGAAGGGGTATGTATGCCTCCAATTATTTCTCAGGCTATTTGATAGTAAAAGGTGCCTTGTACAGAGTAGATAATGTATAGCAGAGAATACAGGTATGGATATGGTTATAGAAAGGTGCACATTTTGAATGAGTTCTTCATGGCCAAGTGGTAAAATAATTATTCAGCCAAAAACATGTGTATTAGTTTTCTATAGCTGCTGTAACAAGTGAACACAAATGTGACTTAAAACAACACAAATGGATCTCTTAAATTTCTGGAGTTCAGACATCTGGAATAGGTCTAACTGGCTAAAATTAAGGCATTGGCAGGTCTTTCTGGAGAGTCTAGAGGGAATCTGTTTTCTTGCCTTTTTCAACTTCTAGAGCAGGGTTCCTCAAACTTTTTAAACGGGCCAGTTCACTGTCCCTCAGACCATTGGAGGGCCATTGGAGAGTGTGTAGCACATTCCACACATGCGCACTGTGAGCCCAGGACAAGTCGGCTGCTAAGCAGGACAGGCAGTAGCGGCAAAAACACCCAGCAGGCTGGATAAATGTCCTCGGCGGGCCACATGTGGTCCACAGGCTGTAGTTTGAGGACGCCTGTTCTAGAGGCTGCATGCATCCCTGGGCTCATGTCCCCTTCCTCTGTCTTCAAAGCCTGCAATTACCAGTTGAGCTTTCTGAGGTCTCATCACTCTGACACTTTTGCCTTCCTCTTTCCCATGTAACTACCCTTTTCATCATATTGGGCTCCCCCCCAAAAAAAAAATCCAGAAAAATATCCTTATTTAATGGTCATCTGGTTAGCAAACTTAAATTCCATTTGTAATCTTAATTTCCCCTTGCTATATAACATAACATAATCATGGGTTCTCAGCATTAGCATGTGGACATCTTTGGGGAGGCTTTATTCTGCCTATGAAGCTAAAACTGAAGCTAATGTCACCATCAAAACAACTGCTGGGACATTAGAATAAATCTGTAATTTTATCACGAAATAATTATTATTGAGATTTATTGATAAAAATCTGTTAGGCAAATTTTAAAAGTTTTACATTATAACACAAAAATACTGGTTCTGTAAAAATGTTTATAGACTGAGCCTTTTGTGGAAAGTGTCCCAGGAGATCTTAGGGGAATTTTTACCTGAAATTTTGAAACAGTAATGAACAGTTATTTTGTTGGCTGTAATGATCAAATAATTCTATAAAACTTAGAACTATAATATTTCATTCTGAAGGTTTTTAGCTATGTATTTGTATTAATTTTTATAAACATTTATGTCACAAGCACAATGTTATCCTAATATTTTTTATGATAGGCATCAGCTGAGAACTTGCAAGAAATAACAAAATCTTAGGGCCAATCCTACTAAATTAGAATCTGAAGCTTTACAAAATCCCCAGATAATGTGTGAGCAGTTTAAAATCTGGAAGCATTGATATAGCAAAGTCTCTTTCTTAATATAAACATTAATATTAGCTGTCAATATATTTATCTGTTCATTTAAGTGTTTATACATTTCAGTGCATGAAATTAACAGCTTTCATAATCATAGTTTTATTTGTACAATAATAAACACTTATACTTCAAATCATTGATAGAATTTTAATCTATAAAGACAGAAGAAGACTTACACTCTGAGTTACATCTAGAATTCATCTATATTTGAAAGTAACTATTCAGATGTAACCATAAAGCTGAATGACGTGCCTTGTTTTATTACCAAGCTGGATATGCTGATTGAATTTGAAGGTATGCTACAGCATTTCATAATGGTTGATTATGCACAAATTTAGCAACTCTTGGACCTACGTTGAGCCAGGTGTTTGGTTACTGTGCCTTCCAAAAGTCAAGGATAAAGCCAAGGCCAATGAGTAGATTTTAGCCAAATACTTAAAGGCTGAAATTGAGTTCTCCATGTCTGTGTTTGTGTGTTAGTAGATTGTATTGTCTTTTACCATTGTCTTGGAAAGAAAACAAATTAAAATAAACAATAACAAAACACTAAACATAACACTAGGCACTCTGGACTAGCTTAGTTTAGAACAAATCAAATGGTCTTTAGGGATTTGAGGGACTGTCTAGGAAAAGAGGGATGAGAAATGTACAGTGAGGCCCCTGAGGTATAAGACAGGCATATGTGAAGAAGTTACAGGGGATTTTATTTCTAAGAAATAATTTCCAACCATCCAGTGGGCAGCTTTAAGAGTTAATGAATTATCTTCTGCCTTAGGTGTTTTGCTTTAGGCAGAATAACCATTTGAAATGAGTACTGCTGAGGGGATTCAAATTTCATTTGGATAATCAATAATGATAGCTAACATTATTGAGCACTACCTAAGAGTGCACACCCTACAGGGATAATGCAACTTAGAACATTTGTTCACAACAGCTTCTTAAGGAAGATGCTACTGTTTTCTCCATTTTAAACAGTCCTTTGGATAAGTTAAAGGACTTAATTTAAGTTGAGCGAGCTGGGACAGGATATGAATCCAAGTCCTTCAGATTATAGAGCTATAAGACATCTCCAGTGATGCAGAATAAGTTCTGGTCCTCACCTTCCCCTCAACTGAATCAGTGCTCCCAGTAATTAGTATTAAGTGGATCAAGTCATACAATATTTCTCAATAAAAATGTATGCGTGTATAACAATTTAGAGATGGGAGAGCAAGGAAAGGAGGGAAAAGGGGAGAGAGGAGAAGGTTGGCACTACTTACTGAACAATTGCACAGTTATTAACAGGATCAAACAAGTTAATGTAAAGCAACTCAAAAGCTCATGGTTTAGAATGAATTTAAGCAATGTTTGTTGAATGAATGTACAAATCAATGAACTTTCCATTCTTATTAACACATAATATAACAGAGATTTGAAACTAAGAAAAACCTTATTTGACCGATTATTTCAGCTTATATTTCTGAAATTTGTACCTGAGTAAAGTGAGTAATGGAAGTAGCATGAGGTTTTGTGATCAATTTGAAATATAATTAGCCAGCAATTCCTATCAGCTCTAAAGTGGTCCACCTGTTATTTTAAATTACAATCTCTGTAATGCTTTCTGCAAAGAATACATCATCTGCTAAGTCTGGTAAATGCACTCATATATATATACATATAAAATCTGCATATATATATGTATATATATATAATTGCAGAGCAATAATGTCTAGCCTATAAATTATTCTTACAAGTAGTGATGGTGTTTTGCTACATCGAAATCATCATAGTATAATAGAAATCCTTACTGGTTTCCTTTAGCTGCAATGAAATAATTTTGTTTATAAAAGGTGCATATACTATAATTATTAAAACAAAGAAAATACTAATTTGAAAGATCAAGTGCATTTAAAATTTAAAAAAAAAAGGCTTTTGTGACTCACAGTCGACATGAACAGATGGTGAAGAAAGTTTCAAACTGATTCTAGAAGTTTCTTATCTTCCTGACCCGTGGCAGCTGTACTTGGGTCTTCTGCCTTTTGGTCACCTGATCCCTTTCTTGGCAATACATCCCCAGTTTGATTACCACCTTTCTTTTTAATTTAATTAATTTATTTTTATTATTCCCTTTAGAACCTCCAGTATTAATTTATGATTTTTGGTACTTAGTATTCAGTCTTCCTTTAGATAATGATGGCACTTCTGTTTTGCTTTTCGGAAGGCTCCCCTCCTCATTCTAAGCGGTATTTTCTCACCTATCCCAAGGGTATTCTTAGGAAGAGTAGTCTCATGTCATGATACTCTGACACATAATAAATATTTATAAGGTACCATCTTGTAGTGTGTCCCCTGAGGAATGGGAGAAAGATAATATGTGGTCTTAGGATAGGTGAGAAAATACCACTTAGTATGGGGAGGGGAGCCTTCTAAAAAGCAACACAGAGGTGCCATCATTATCTAAAGGAAGACCCAATACTAAGTACCAAAACCCATAAATTACTACTGCAGGTTCTAAAGGGAATAATAAAAATAATGAATTAAATTAAAAAGAAAGGTGGTAATCAAACTGGGGATGTATTGCCAAGAAAGGGATCAGGTGACCAAAAGTCAGAAGACCCAAGTACAGCTTCCAGGGCTCAGGAAGATAAGAAGCTTCTGAGATCAGTTTGAAACTTTCTTCACCATTTGTTCATGTCAACAGTGAGTGACCAAAGCACATTTAAGCACATTTAAGTGGTACCAAAGAACATATAGTTATCAAGAGGCAGAACCGGGGTTTGAACCTGAGAAGTGTGGCTCCAAGAGTTGTGTTGTGTTTACCACTATCTTCTTATGCCTCTCTAAGTGTCATCACTTGAGACTGAAGCTTATTCTGTTGCTGTGATTTTCATTTCACAGGGCTCCAAAATTCCACTAAGGCATTTGGAGTTGGGTTAGCTGTCACTGCTAAAGATCAGATCAGTCTCCTCAGAATCAAAAACATGTCTCACGTATTTTCTCTCTTTATATTTGCTGGCTTTAGAAATACTCCATTATATCTTTTCTTTACAGCTATTTTCTACTGAAGTCATATTTTCAGCATGAAGCCATCTTCACCTTCTCCAGTCTGCGAGAGTTCTCCCTACTCTATGCTCACCAAACATAGACCAAGGTAGGTTATTCAGCATTCTTCCCAACAATGTTGCATTCTTTATTTCTAAGATTTATGTCATCTTTTTCTCAAATAAAATAGATGTCCTTAAAGTAAGGGTCAAGACCACATATTATCTTTCTCCGATTCCTCGGGGGACACGCTACAAAATGGTACCTTATAAATATTTATTAGGTGTCAGAGTATCAGAACTAGTTACGGTGCATAGAATCATTTTATGTATGGTTTAAGTGCTGTGTGTTGAGAGAGATCTGCTTTTCTTGGGTATAGGGTAGAAGAGGGTATTTTAAAATGAAGTATCTTGAAGGAAACTTACCTAGATTTTATTTTGCTTTTGTGTTACATATGTTTAATAATCTCATAATATCACTCATCACTGCATAGCTTTTGCTACATCAAGAATCAGCTCTCATATCCTCAAATCAATAGTAAAGCTTTCCCCCAGGAGATGGTGCCTCTTATCTATAACATTGTAAGAGTTCTTCATATTTGCAAAGCTTAGTAGAGTTTACTTTGTGTAAAATATGTGTGGTTTCATTTGAGTTTCACAATGACCTTGTGAGGTCAGTACTATTACTTCTACTATGTAGTTAAGGAAAATTAGATTCAAGAATAAATGACTGCTGGTGAGTGGACATCTAATTTTATAATGCAAACCTCTGACACCTACACTTGAACTCATTCCACTCTTCTCTTTTAATATTTTTTGACCAGAAGAGTATCCACCACTTGACAGATGCTCAATAAACATGTATTTGTTTAACTGACTCTTTTCTATCTTAATTATCAAAACGATATTTAGTATGTTATATTGAATTCTACAAAACATACTGAGATACTAAACCAAATAGACATATTTTTACTGTCCCCAAGGAGTTCACCATGCAGTTTGCACAGACATGCCCCATCATAAACACAGGTGTCCTTTTCACTCACCAAAGCTGGTGCAGATCTGAATATATACCAACCGCAAGGATAATGAACAGAAACAAATCTCACAGTTTGCAAACTGATTTAAAAATTAACAACCTAAACTTAGAACTTGCTCATTGATTCCCTGCTGGCTAATTTTGATTCTGGAGCATGACAAAGAGGATGGCTTGTTACCATTCATTTGCTTCTTAATAGTGATGATCATTTGAAAGTTTGGAACTTGCAGCTCAAAGAGTGAGCTCTTTGGGGAAAGAAAACAGCCAGCAGTACGGGAATATTTAACCTGGATGCACATAGACACAGCCACAAAAGATGTAAACACATATAGTAATTTAGTTCTAGAAATCAATCATTCAGAAGCATTCATGACCCATATCTTTAGTATAGGAGGTTTCTTCTAGGACTAATTTGTCCACATGTTTCTTTTTAGATTAATAAGTAAAAAATGAGCACATGAATTCAAGTATTTCGTTAAAAGACATGTATTTGTTTAAATAGTGTGCCATCCTTCTCCACTTCCACCCCCTTAATATTTTGGTTTAAATAAATCTCCCTCTGTTTCCGAAGATTAATTCCTCTCATCTCTTTCAAGTGTGACGCTCACAGTCATGTCCACATCACTCTCTCCTGATCTGCAGTGGTTATCGATGACTACCACTGAATCACAACTCCTGCCCTCACAAGCAGGAGGTGGTGTGTTAATTGGCTGAAAAGATTCCAACTCCCCCACTTGGCCCGCTCTCTCTATTTTTCTTTTTCTACCAAAGTGCTTTCTTTGCTCTGCTTCCACAGAGCTGGATCTATATCACTTACCAGCCCTAGCCCTGCACTTGTATTTTGCCAGCAGAGCTGAGAAGGCCAATCTCCGGTGGCAACAAACTGGGACAGCTTCCCAGGTTCATTTGCTTTTTCATCACAAGTTCAATCTTCCTAAATTCCACTTCAAATGGAATCCCCACCTGAGTTCCTTTTCAACTAAAGATCAGACCCAAGAACATCAAGAACATTCACAGAAATTATATTTGTTTGAACAGCTGTTTGGAGCTGCTCTCCTTGTAGTCTGAATCTTCTTTTATAATCTTTTGGTCAGGGAGCTACGAGTTCAAATTGTTAATATTGAATTAAGCATAAATGATACAGTAGAAAATAGAAGACATCAATTTTACCATTCCCTGGCCATTTCTAAGTTCCTTCTAATTTTAGTGCTTTGAGTAGCACAGATTTATTATATTTAATCTTTCCACCTCTTTTATCAAATCATTTTGTCTGATTCTTTCATCCATTTTATATTAATTTAGAGAATTGGCAGCAGATTTGATCTTCTAAACTTCAAGTTTGGAATGTACTCAACATTATTCTTATTTATAGTTCCTTTTCAGTGCTAGTATCCTATATCAGGTTTAGGGTTTGTAATGCAAACTATTCATAGAGGATTCATATTGCCTCAGTATAGAACTCACTGTGTCTATGTAATAGAGTTGGAGTCTATTCAATATTAGTATCAAATATGTCAAGATGTTTTAAGATTAACAAATCTAATATATAAATAATTTTAGGTATTAATAGAAATTTCAGTAGTAACAAACCAACCAAAAAAAAGAAAACCCTTTGTATATTTAACAAAACCTGAGGGAGGTTGAATTATCTGTTATGGGAATCAAAGAACTCCTCGATGGAGTCTGATCTAGGACTGTAAGGGAATAGCTCCACCAGGAGGTGCTCTGATGTCTCCCCCGAGGCTAGATGAGCAAGGCTGGACTACAGTCTTATTGGACTTTTGGCAGAACACTGCAATTTCTGCTGGGGCCAGGGGAGGAGAGCAGTCTGGTATGGAAATACCATGAGGCAATTTCACATCAGTCTTGCTCTCCCTACCCCACTTAGGCTATAGATGCAGGATTCCTGGTAAGTCTGTAAAACTGCTTGGCTATAGTTGAGCGCTGGCCTCTCAATGGAAGAGACACTGTTTGCCCAGTGTCTCTCTGGTTGAGCTATCCTGTGGGACTAGAGACACCAGAACTGACACCAAGCTGATCTTGATTTTGCTGTCCCTGCAAACAGCAAGCTATCTAAATTCATTCAGGCTCCTTGTCTCCTTAGCAGCCAAAGGCACAGTAGTAATCCTTATGGCCTTATTACTCACCATTTTACTACTTTGTACAAGCCTTGTTCCATTTTGGAAAATTTCAATTTCCTTGAAGTTGTGCTATTTTTAATAAATCCATATTACATAATTAGATCTTATAATAAATTGCCCACCACTAAAAAATTGTCACCAGTTTGTAGGCACTACAATATTGGGTCTTCTCATTTCTGGCCTTTCTTCAGTTAGTACTTCCTTCCTCTGTGCTTCTGTATAGCTTTGTATTTTCTCGTGTTTAACTTAATCAGTAATGTAATTTTTTTTTTTTTACATCTCTGTTCGTCCAATGAAATTATTCACACTGGATAGTATTATTTGTTTCAGTACCCCAGATTCAGCAGAGTATAATTGATTTAATGAATGAATGAATAACAACAGCTAATATTCCTTTAAAGCTTACTAAGTCTCATATATGTTCTAAATCATTTAATTACATAATTATCAGAATAACTTTATGAGTTTCATACTAGTTTATTTCATAAATGGGGAAATTAGACACAGAAAGGTGATATATCCCAAGGTAAGACTGAATGTCATTACTAATAAGTAAATAAATAAAATATTTTACCAAAAACTACAAGGGAAAATTATCATTTTCACTCTGCATTTATATATATCCTTATACCTTGCTAATTAAAATTTCTCATCTCCAATTCCTTCTTTGCAATATTTTATAGTATACTCTTATTTTAATTAATTCTTATTTTAGCCCAGTACTAAATTGGGCTGCTCTGATTTTGTTTTATCCCTGTATTTCTTTGAGTCCCATCTTCAAAGATATCACAGGTGACATAAAACACATTTTAGCCATTCACATTAGAGTATTAGAATTCAGTTAATGTAAATCCCAATATACACAAGATTCAGTAAATTAAATATATATGTATATTAAAATATGTATAGATATGTATATATAGTGTCAAAAGTGGTCAGAGAGAAGCAGTGTCTTTTCCTGATGACACCCTGAAAACTGTCATTCTGTCATTCTTCTGCTTAGTGGCTTCATTCAAACTCAAATTAAGTATCACAAATATCAGAGAGAGCCATTTTTATGTTCAATAGATAAAATTTTTGTTCTTCTTTAAAGCATTAAAAGATCAGAATTTTGATGTACTTTATAACATTTGGTAAAGGTGGTATTTTGGCAAAATTGTGCATAGAAAATAAGTCAAAATTTTCTACTTAGAGCAGTTGAAATATCTTTTGATGTTATGAAAAACCCAAACACGTCTTTAATGTTTTGCCATAGAAAATGGCAGTGATACATCTCTATAGTACTTTTTTTCCCAAATAAAACACCTTCTGTGGATAATATGAGCATAGTTCATATGCAAAGCAACATAACTCATAGTTAGGCCAATAAAAAAATATGGAATGATGTTTTTTTTTATTCCATATCTTTCATGCTATGGAGAGAAGGCAAGAGAAAAATGCCCCAGATTTTTAATATTTATTTTTTCAACTTTATGGGGGGCATTGATCAATAGCATAAGCAAGTGGTATCATTTTTTAATGTGCTATTACATACATTGTTAATATTTCCAAAGTATATTGGAGAAATATATGTGTTTCTGAGGTTCCATGGTATTCTAGCACAGTACTATAAGTTGGTGAACAAATAGTGGGAAAGGTAATGTTGTTCTGGTTACACCTGCAAATGATAACTGGAGTAAACTCAGAAATTCATGTATTCTTCCTCACCACAAGGTCTAGAGATCCTTCATTATCAAAATAAGGAATCAAATTAAAGCAAGAACAAAGACCATATGATTCTGTCAATAGATGCAGAAAAAGCATTTGACAAAGTCCAACATACCCTTATGATATAAACTCTTAACAAAATAGACATAGACGGTCCATACCTGAAATTTATCAAATCCATTTATGACAAACCAACTGCTAATATCATTCCAAATGGGGAAAA